TTTTAATACCATAGATATGTATATAATTTGTCTTAAACCTAGACTGACATACCGTCTTCGCTCAGAATCGTTTTTCTTATACAATGATATTGTATCATTGAATTCAAATTTAAAAGCATCCATTATACAGTGACCCACTTGTAACCTACTGTACAGCAGAGCGACATCCACTTACCCACCTTTTTTTTTTGTGTCTGTGTACACGATAAGTAGTCGAAATAATGCTTCGATTTTCGACTTCAGTATCTTGTTCGATTGGAGAGTGAATATCTTTGGTGCATTGGGGAGGTCAAAATTTAAAATTCCCAATAGTTTTCACAAGCGCCGGGAAAAAACAACATAAAAATGAAGGAAAAACGGGAATTTTTACGCAAAATAGGTTTTTGACAAAATCGAATTTGGTTTTTGGTGTAACTTTAAAACAAATGACTGTAGGAACATGAAATTTTGACTGGTTGTTTATATTTGCCTTTTCTATACACGATAACATTTTCAAAATATTTTGATTTATTATGAACTGTTTAGGGACATTTTCATTTTCCATTTTTTTTTAGTTTTTTTTCTAAAAATATCGATAAAACTTTGTTTGTTGAGTAGAAATACTTGAAAATTTAATACAAGGTTCCTACTATATTGTTTCAAAGGCAGATGAAAAATATTAAAAATCGTTAGTCACAGTTTTTTTTTATAAGCATTTAAAGTTCAAAAATTGACAAATCACGAAAATTAGCAAATTATTTTGAGTTAAGTATTCGTAAAAATTTTTCTTTTTAAATCTAAGATTTGAAAATGTAATACAAGATTACTCATAAGTTTGTCTACCTTTATCAATAAAAAAATCTCTACCGGACAGTCAAATTAAATTTTTATGAGCGTTTGAAATTAAAATTTTTACAACATTGGATGTTCACTCGATTTCTCATGTAGCGATTTCCTTATTTTATTGTTATTCATAAACGAATAACTATAGATACATGAAAATTTCACTGAATGTTTGTATAAGCATTTCCTATACACCATACAATTTTGAAAATATTTTGACTCTTTTTGAGCTGTTTAAGTACTTTTAAGTACGAAAAACGATTGGTCTCGTGAAATAGAGTCAAGAATAACAAAAGCAGAGAGAGCGTTTTTTGCCTTGCTAAAGTTCTTTAAATCTAAACTATTCTCCAAACGAACAAAGACAAGACTTTATACATCAATAATAAGGCCGATACTAACATATGGGTGTGAAGTATGGACCACTACAAGTGTAACACAACAAAGACTGAGGACTTTTGAAAATAAGATATGGAGAAGAATATGTGGCCCAATCAGGGATCCGAGGACCGGCCAATGGCGCAGGAAGTTCAATCAAGAATTAAAGGAAGAATTAAATATAGTTACCAGTTAATGGATTCATAAAGAGTCAAAGGATAAAATGGCTAGGACATGTTATGCGGCGTAACACAGATGCATTAACCAAGGTAGCATTAAATTGGAAGCCGGAAGGAAGAAGGCCACGGGGTCGTCCTCTGAAAAGATGAATAGATGTCGTGGAAAAAGATTTAGAAGACCTTGGAGCAACGAATTGGAGGGATATCGACAGGATCGAGATAAGTGAGATGATTTAGTGATGGCGGCAAAAGCTCTTGGAGAGTTATGAAGGCCAGAAGAAGGAAGAAGAAGAAGAAATAAACATTTAAAGATCGAATTTTGACAAAATTTACCAAATTTAAAATTGAATAATTATTTTGTAGTTAAAAATTTCTAAAATGTTCGACTTTAATATCTAAGGATGGACAATTTAAAACAAGATTTCACTTAAGTAGTTAATTCCGTTACCAAAAAATCGAAAAAATACATAAGCACAGTTAAAATATCATTTTAAGTTCAAATTTGGACGAAATTTGAAAATTTAATAGAAGATTCCACGTAAGTAGTTTATTCTGTTTCTTCTTTTAATCTAAAATTACATAGACACAGTTTATTTTTATAGCCATTTTAAGTTCAAATTTGGACTAAATTATGTATTAAAAACCTAGAATAACTATTTTAGTTTTTATGTTGTGGTTGTATAATATTATTCTTGGGAACTTGAAACTATAAAAAAAGTACACTATTATATATTTTATATATCTATGATAGTATCAGGGTTTGTTGTTGATGTATAACGCGTTATAAGTACCTAATGGATATTGTGATATGATTAATTTGGAATTTATTATATGTAGGTATCCTATTATAGGTCATTTTTTTTTAATACCATAGATAAGTATATAATATGTCTTATACCTAGACTGACATACCTACTGTCTCCTCTCAGAATCGTTTTTCTGATACAATGATATTACATCATTGAATTCAAATTTAATACCATCCATTATACAGTGACCCACTTGTAACCTACTGTGCAGCAGAGCACCTTTTTTATGAATATTACCAATATTTTTTTCTGAAAACTACTAAAATGTCTTTAAAAAATTAAAAAATGCCATTCTGTAACCTTTATATATCATAATTATAGGTATACAATGTAAACATACATTATACAACGCATCCAACCCCCCATCCTAGGGAATCCCGGACGAAAAGTCCGGAATGAAAAAAGTTGGACTAAAAGTCCGGATTCATTTTTTGATTGCCAGAAGAAAACGGAATGTAGAATAAATTATTATTGTAGACTAGATTTTTTAAATAATATAACTTTTTTTAAAACTATAATTATTGTATTGACATCGACAATCATTTCTTGGGGAAAAGTACCTATATTGTACCTATATCAAATTATTATTATTATTGTATAGCCCCAAACCAGTGGCGTATTTACGGGGGGGGGGGGTCCATGGGGTCCGGACCCCCCCCCATTGACTCGTGTCTCGTACATGTTAAATTTTGTGCAGTTTTTACATGATTAAAAAACAAATTTTATCATACGATTTTACGGATTTTATAAAAAATTTTCGAAGCTATAGTTATATCAACATTTTCAATAAATATCGTGATTATTTTTATCAGTTGGGTACCGAAAATTGTTGAAAAATACCAAATTCATTTTTTAATTCAAATATTTTGTAGTTTTGTACATTGCCAGTATCTACAACTACTCCAGAGAGATCTTTTTCAACCTTTTTAAGGTTGAAAAGTTATCTAAGATCAACTATAAATGAAGTAGGTACCTAATGTAAATATTTGTATAAAAGTTATAACATATAACTATATATTCGATTCTGAGGGATCTATTGGTTCTACAATGGTGTTTATTTTTTTTCCTGTATACAAAATTCTTCCAGAAGGAGTGCTTCGATTTCAACATGTATAGACATATATTTTATATATATATTAGACATATATATTTTTATAGTAACTTATCTTTTAGAAAATTGGATCAAGATAGTACTTTAGAGAGGTCATTTTTCAATTTTCTCAATAGTTATTTAATGCCACTGTAAAAACCACCAAAAAATTACGAAAAACCGCTAAAAATGGGATTTTAATTTCTAACACTTTGTCTATCACCATAGAAAAAAAATAAAAAATAAAAGTATTTCATTATTAATTCAACTTACAGGCTATAATAAATAATAACAATATAAAATATCTAGACTGACAAACCGTCTTCGCTCAGAATCGTTTTTCTTATACAATGATATTATGATATTATATATCATTGAGTTCAAGTTTAATACAATCCATTATATATTGACCCACTTGTAACCTACTGTACAGCAGCAGAGTGACATCCACTTACCTGCTTTTTTTTAAATTTGTTTTGTAAATATCATTATTTAATAATTAAAAACTCGACAATTTTATATCGTCTTATAAATATGGTATATTTTATTTAAGGGGCCTGGTCGCGATTTTTCAAATTTTCCGCAATTCTATAAAATTTGAAAATTAAATTTTATATTTTAGTTGCCACCTCAATTATAAGACTTTTCCACTAATCTACTACCCAATACCTATTTAGGGGGGTCGATAGGGTGTATTATATCGATCAAAACACAGTTTACAGGAAAAACTCTCACCCCTCGTGGATTGGTCCGATTTTCGTAATTTTTTTTTTGTTAGATAGAGGAATATTTTTTACAGGGCGCATTGGACTTCGATTTTTGATTACGTCGCTAAAAACAAAAAATAATACAAAAACTAAAAAGTTGTAAAAATTGATTAAATTCAAACTTGTAACATAAGACTTAGAAAAATAATTTTGAAAATCCAAGTCCAATGCGCCCTGTAAGAAGTCTTCCTCTATCTAACAAAAAAAAAATTACGGAAATCGGACCAATCTACGAGGCGTGAGAGTTTTTCCTGTAAGGCATGTTTTTGAGCAAAAAAACAGGTCGCGTGAGTAAATGGGTGGTGTGGGGGGCTTCGTCCCCCGTGGCTCTGTGTTCTGAAAATTATCTGGACCCTCCCCATGACAAATTCCTAAATACGCCACTACTCCAAACGTAATGTACCTATATCAAATTATTATTATTATTATTATTATTTTCAAACGTAATGTGAAAATTATAAAATGGATGAACCCTAGGATAGGTACTGTAGGTCACGGCTTTAGATAGATTCTATCTAAAGCCGTGCTGTAGGTTCAGAAAATGAAAGGGAAATTTGGCATCGTTGGTTTGGATTTTTTTATATGTTTTTTAATAAATAATAAGTACCTATTATCATAGACGTAAAATATAATAAATGATGTATATACTATATGTATATAAATTATATAAAATTATACTATACGTCTATAATACATTAATACGTTTATTATTATTTATGAGTATTTGTTTTTTGTTTTATTATTTATATAATAATATAATTCAACATTGATAAGTTGTGTTTAACAGATGTTATCACTTATCAATTTGTACTAAAAAGTATAACACTGTAATCTATTCAATATTGTGCATTTGTGCACTGCATTTCTTGTATTAAATGTAAAATTGTATCACCAAGCCTTCAATATTATTTATTATTCTGTGTTTTTTACTAGCATCAGTGAACCAATAACATTTAAAATGAAACCAGGATTATATCACGAACAAAAATGTTCACAGCTATTAACTAAGGATGAAAATGAATCTGTGTTACAACTATTGGGCCCAAAATGTCAAGTAAATTATTTTTTATTGTTTATAATTGATAGAATTTTTACTATAATTATACAATACTAACAATTTGGCTATTAATTTTCTTTAGAGTTTAGCTATGGCTGTAGTTCAGTTTTTTAGCACCGATGGTCCTGAAGGTACTGAATGGAGGCAAAAGAATTTTGGAATTCTTTGTTTTGTCAGAGACCCGAATAGAAAGTCATATTATTTTCGATTGTATTGCCCAATAAGACACCAATTATTGTGGGAACATGAAATGTATAATGGATTGCAATACCAAAGTTCTGCTAAATTTTTCCATTGTTTTGAAGCCGAGGTAAATTGAAATAACTATAAGATACTGTTAATTTATATTAGTCCAATTGTTTTTTTCCATTAGAAATTATGTCCACTTAACATAATTTTACTAAAATTATGAATCATTTTCTGGTAGAGATATTCCTTGAAACTACTTAGAGTTTTTTTATAAGAACAAAGTTTGAAAAATACAATATGAATGTCTAACAGAGACCACAAAATAATTCAATTTTATTCAACCAAATAAAATATTAATATTGTCTTCATCTAGGTTTATAAGATATTTGGATATTATTAATTATTTAAAATACTTTAAACTTTATAAATATGTCATATAACAGATAGGTAGCTTAATAATTGAAAAAAGTGAAAATAATTCATTTAAATGTTCAATTAAAGATGAATGCCACGCCCGTGTGTTGTCTTAGTCACAAAATTTGCTCTCAGTAGAACCAGATTTGTGTCGTTACATTTAATGTTAGAGTTAATTTACCTATTATCGAACTTTTGCTTGCTAGATTTTTACAATATTTCAATTAAACAAAATATAAGCATTTTTTAACAGTTAAGAAACAGTTACTGTAATAGTTTGATACTAGATCAATTCACTTCAATATTAAATCCACAACACAAAATTAGTTCTGCTGATTGCATTTTTGCTATATTGTCTGTTGTACAAACAGACAGAGACAACAAATGCGATTGTGACGTACTAATAGTGTATATTAAAAATTAAATATTTTATGAATATGTATATTGTATATGTTAATCATATTACAAATATTTAATATAGGAATGTATAGTTGGGTTTAATTTTGCAAGTGAAGATGAAGCTGCAGTGTTTGAAGAGACAGTAATTAATTTACAAAGAAGAAGACGGGAAAAACGACTGGGTAACTTAATTTTTATTTCTATTGAAAAAGTTTTTAAATTTGTTTATATATCATTATATCAACATGTGTTTTTACATCTGAACTAATATTTCCATAATTTATTGTACAATAAAGTGAAGATTATAAGGTATTTTATTAATTTATTAGTCAGTAACTTAATGTTTAATAATCATTTTAGCTTAGGCGGTGGTATTTTAGTTAAAACAATCTTAATGTACAAGTATAGCTGGTAATTTAAAAGAACACCACACCCACATTTATTGTCTTAGTCTTTCAAGTGTGCAAAGTATTAAATTTATGTTCAGCATTTCACATTTAATTAAAATAGCTTAATATTTATTGGAATAAATTGAGCTATTATTAAACTTAAAGTTAAAGGTGTGTTTTCGATACTTAAATTTAAAAGTTAGTAAAATATTACAATTAAAAAATATTCAACGCATTCTTCAAAAAACACAGACAATGTTATTACTCTTAATTTTGATAAAGATAAATTCTTTATAAATTATAATATTAAAACTAATGAAACTAAATGTCAATTACTGAATTTATTCAATGTGTTACACACTTGTAAGACGGAAATTACAACTAGGGATGAAGGCGTCCTCAAGTAAAACATGATTAACAATTTAAAGTCACCATATACATCAGTGATATACACAGGGGTAGAGTTTTAGGATGCCATTATGCCAACTACAGTGAAATTACTTTTTTTTTTTTTATATCATCATAATCAATACGCAAAGTAGATTAATTGTTAATTATTTTTATGAATATAAATACATTTTAAAATTGCAATAGAATTGAGAATTTTAATTCAGTTATTTTTTTTTTTTGATGATAAAAGAACATTGTTAAATGTCTATCATAACTGCTTCATTAATTGCCATGTTTAATATGACCTAAAGACAGTGTTAAGTAAGTTACTTTTCACGTTACTAAGAGATAAATGTAATTAAGTTACTGTACTCATTAATCAAATAAAACTGTAATGAAATTTCTTTACTTTTCAAATAGAAAAGTAACTCTTTACTTTCTCTTTACAAAAAAAAAAAAAAATGTTTTTTTAATTTCTTGGCAATTATCTTCTGCAGGCAAATTGAACAAGCAAATTCTTTATAAAACCTGTATAGTTAATAAGATCATATAAAATTTAGTCTTCCACACAAGCTATATTCATAGCAAACCTATTTATAGGAATCAAATTGAATAATAAATTTAATGAACTGTTCTCATGATTTACAGTGCAATTAGACATTTCAAATGTCAAAACCATTAAAAACTGAATTGTGTCGAGTTAAAATTAAATATATATTATACATATTAGATTGGTACCTAAACATAATAATACCCACATTATACATATATTTTTTTCCAATTCACAGTAGGTAGATAGATACTTAATAATTCGAAACTATAATGCGTTATTCTATAGAAATTACTTTTTAAAAGTAATTTCCATTACATTTTTATTACTTGTAATTACGTAACGCTTTAGAAACAAAGTAACGCTATACTTTCGTTACGTTACTACCCAACACTGCCTAAAGAGAAGATGACTCTAGATGACTAGATTAAATATTTAAATAGGAAACAAAATTTGAGACTAACTCAATAATGGGTCTTAAAAAACTTAATGAAAATTGTTGTAAAAATAATGTAAATACAAGTATAAAATTGATTTGTTTGAGTTTTGAAAAACTTTTACCTATTAAATTTTATGACCTACCTAATAATTATTTTACTTTTGAATTTATTGTATGTGGACTATCTTATAGTTATTACTTTTAAAATGTTATTTTTTCCATATCAAGTAGGTACAAATGTACAATATATTAAAGTTAAAGAAATATAAAAATTTGGATTAATTTTTATATTTTGATGTTGCTATTTGGTAATTTAGGAATGGGAGTGGTATGGGGATGAAGCCCCCCATGGGTCTTTGATTAATCTTACTTAAAATCCCTAAGTGGACTAAATTCTTGTGTATGCTACTCATATATATGAGTTTTTGACATTATTATATTTTAAATAATAATAATTTATTGATATTTTTCAGAACAAAGGTCGAAGTCGCACAATAATCAAAATAATGTCTTGCAACCTGTAAGTAGTTCTAATAACACTTATGGACCACCAGTTCAAATGAATGGTAATGAAATGGTTTATTTATTGTTAACAATTTATCTATCATAATTTTAAATTGTATATTCAGGTAAAAGTCATAAAAATAAAGGGAAAAATTCAAAAAATAAGAAATACACAAAAGATCAAATAGGTCTACCAGAAAATTTCAGACATGTGCAACATATTGGTTGGGATCCAGATCGAGGTTTTGATTTAGGACAGATTAAAGATCCACAATTAAATACATTCTTTGCTAAGGTAAAGTGTCTGTTTTTCTATAGGTAATACACACTACGGTTAACACTTCTAAATAAAATAAGTCACATTTTGTGCTATTCAGATGATTGATGCTAATTTTTTTTTTACAATAATATTGATAGTCATTTGAAAATATATTAAATTATAATGATCATTTTTGCAACAGGCCGGGGTTTCCGAAAGTCAACTACGTAATCCTCAGACTCGAGATTTTATTTATGATTTTATTGATAAACATGGTGGTATGGATGCTATTAAAGAAGATGTTCAAGATTCACTTACTCCGCCTCCTTTGCCAACAAGATTTCGTCAAGCTCCACCTCCACCTCCACCTACTTCAAATAATACACCAAATATAAGAAGTCCAGCACCACCGCCCCCTCGGCCTAACAATGTGACTATTCCAGTTAAAAAACAAGGTAGGCAATAAACATAAATACAATTTATATGATATAAACATGTAGGTACAATAATTAATATTATAAAAAAAAAAATGTGGAAGTGGATGTGCTAAATTTGAAATCATTTAAATATGTAATTTTGTCAAAATCTGAACTTGAAATATCTATAAAGAAAATTTGTGTATGTATATTTTTTAGAATTGTTGGTTTTAATTACTTATGAGAAATCTAGTATTACCTTATAAATCTTAGCTGTAAAGGTTGAACATTTTATACATTTTTAAAAAACAAAATAATACGCAACTTTTTGTGTTTTTTTTCCAAAATTTGAACTTAAAATGCATGTAAATAAAATTCTTGCTTATGTATCTTTATTCTTTTAAACGGCTATAATTTATACTTATAGGGAACCTTGTATTGATTCTCAAGCATTTTGGCTAAGTGAACATTTTTTACTAACATTAGAAGTAAAAAAACAAAAAAATACAAAATGTCTATTAACAGCTTAAAAAGAGTCAAAACATTTTACAAGATCCAATTTCCCACCAGAAACTAAAATAAAAATTGAAAATCAAAGAATTTTTTCTTCTATAAATTGTTTACATAGACACATCTCATTGTAAAATCAATACATTCATTGTTCAACTCAGAATCTAAAAAATTTTACAATTTTATTATCTAAATTACATTATACTAGCTTTTATAATTGTATTAATTGTCAAACTTTGTCATAAAAAACCGACTTTTATATGATTTTTTTTTTTTTTTTTGAAAGAACAATTTAGATTAGATTAATAAAAATTAAACTATTTGAAATATTTTAAAATATTTATATTTAGTACATATAAATCTATATAATTAAAATTAAAACTCAACAATTTGTGTTCAATTATTAATATAACCTTTGAGGAGTTACATTAGGGAAAAGAATATTTATAACCTATAATTTTTATAAAACTATTATGTTTTCTTATAACCATAAAAACTTAGTTTTTATATACATTTTAATTAGAAAATATTGTTTTCAACATTTTTATATTTTAGAAGACATTTTTATTCCTCCACCTCCGCCATTAATGAATGCAGCTCCACCACCCCCACCGCCGCCACAAATGGAATTAACCAAGAGTAAGCCTGTTGAAGCTGCACCAGACACTAGATCTGCACTATTAGAAGCCATCCGGTCTGGTAAAACACTCAAGGTGTGTACACTAGTTTTTTATGAAATAAATAAGATAGTAAAAATATAAAATATAGTAATTTATTTTTTTTCTGTAGCATGTTGATACTTCAAATTCTGTAAAAGCATCTAACACTACAGAACCTAATTCAAGAAATAACTTACTTGATCAGATAAGACAAGGCGTAGAATTGAAATCGGTATTACTTAAAATTTTCACTTGTTTTAAAAGTGATAACATTAATATTTATTAAATTTTATAGGTGCAACCAATCGAAAAGAAAAGTATTAAAAATTTAGAAGGGGATGGTTTAGCTGGGGCATTAGCCAGAGCTTTAGCTGAACGAGCTAGAGTTATTCATAGTGACAGTAGTACCAGTGACTCCAGTGAAGGTGATGATGACTGGGATGACTGAGTTGTAATTATTATAATGCTATAACATTTTTTTATTTATATTCTTTAATATATTTATATTTACTGTTGGAAGTAGTTTTGATTTAAACATTTTATTTATCTTGATAATTTGGATTTAAATTTAAATTTCATTAACTGCATTTATATTTTATTGTTATGATAATCACAGTCTGTATAATGTATATAATCAATGATTTATAATGTGATATTAAATATTTTAATCAATTTTCTTTTTTTTAATTCCAGTGCTTAAAATGTAAAACATTCTGGTTCCTTTTTAATATATTTATAATGTACTAATCATCAATCATCAGGTTTATTCAGTTGGATATTTGAATATTTAAAAAAAAATATATTAGTTTTATTTTTAGATCTCAAATTACAATATACAAAAGCTAAACAAGTATTATTTATTGTATTGCACAAAAATATACTGGTATAAATGCAATACTCTATTTAGGATATGAGTGGACCGCTCTTGAACATGCAGATATAGGTCGCGATCATTGTACATCAAAGTTGTGTCATATCAGACTGCATTAATTTATGAGAATGGTGCCTGTTTATAGGAGGGAAGCTTGGACGTCTTTAATCTTTACAACAATAACACTTTTTTAATTCCCTAAAGGATATGAATTTACTAGCATTTTTATCTAATTATAAAATGATAAAAATAAATATCCCAATAATTAAAGCAGAGTAAGCTAAACATTAATTGTAGATAAATAAAAAATTCATAAGTTTTAAAATAATATTAAAATATATTTCATAGATTCATTTTTTATTTTTATGATATCGTTTTGCAAAGGTTTCTCCAACTAAAAGTGGAAATATAAGTGTTGCATCGCCATAAATCTAGACAAATAAAAAAAAAATAATTAATTGAACTACCTATGGTCAATGTATAAATATTTACTTTCACTGGTGAAGCATCTGCTTTTATTTTACCCCATGAAACAGCTTCATCGGGTCGAGCTCCAGAATCACTACCATCATATTCTGATGCAGTATTCAAATAAACCGCATAATCAGCACCATTTCTCTACATTAACCAATTAATAGTAGTTAATTATAGCATTTATGAGATAATAGGTTTATAATATTAAGAACCTAGTTTTTATTCATAGCCTGAAGAAAACAACTAAGTGTTAAATTAGTTTAAAAAAAAAAAAACAGTGAGTGTTGTTGAACACTCGGCAGGAACGAAGTTCAGTGCATGTGATGCGAGACGCGGAAACATATATGGTTAGAAAAATATAAATAAATAGTGATAGAGAGAGAGAGAGACAGAGAGAGAAATGAATGCTTGTATAAATATATCGCGCGCATGGTAATAAAATTATAATAAATTTTTTCTGAGTATTATGAAAAAATGGTATTTTAATCATTATAAAAGTACAAAGCAATTATGAAATTAATCAGTAGGTCTAACGCGTCGACTGCGGCGCTGGCAGTCGCGGGTTCGCCTCTCGACCACTGGGCGGCATTTTTCTCCGGGCAAGTCACGGTGTCCGGAGTACAAGTGCCGCCATCCCCCAACCCGGGGCATGGCAGAAACCTACGGGTGCCCCAATAAAAATTCTGCCACCACAAACACACACGTGTACCAACCTACCCAATCTAAAAACCTACAGTTCCCTCCCAACACCCAATGGCCTATGTTGCCGCGGGTTATCCAATAAAAGGAAAAAAAAAAAAAAAAAAAAAAAAACCTATTGATGGTTAAGTCAATTCTACTGAAAGAAATTTTAATAATGATACGGTTGATACAGCTTGTACTCGATTATCGTTTTTCAAAAGTAAATTTTAATTTCATTTGTTTAATAGATTTGTATGTATATAGAGAAGAAGGTAAATGGAAATCACAATGGAATTTATAAATTTAAGGGGCAAAAATTATTTTGAAAATAAAATTCTTATCACTTTCCTTATCAATAAAAACAATATTTATGAAAATCCCAATAAATCCCATCAAAAACTCAAAACCCCGAGTTTCCCCTTGGCGAGGTTGGTGTTAGTACTCTCCCGGACCAAAATCCATCAAAAAAGCAAAATCCAAAAGGGGGGGGAGGAGGTGCCCCCGTTCCCTAAAGCGGAAAACTGTAGTCTTCATAATAAGAATGGGTTCCACCTTGGTCCGAGGTCTTTAACTTGAATTCCGGCCGAGTTACACTCAACTCAAAATGTGGGGGGGGGGTGGGGGCTTTGGTTCCCTAATGTTGAAAATTCATCTGGGGCCTAAAAAATTGAGATGCCCATTGGTCCGGGGTCTCTAAGTCGAATACCGGCTAAGTTATGCTTCGTCAAAAATAATTACTCGTTTAATGGGTCCCCCCCCCATTCCGCCCGACGGTCACCTCTACGCGCGTGACGACCGATGTTGGGTAGCCTACGCGAATGGAACCCGGTTGCCAGATGGTAAGATCCTAGTGGGGACATACGATAATATGAGAGGAGGGAGGGGATATGTAAGCCGGCAGCCGAGCAGAGCCGAGCCGAGCCGAGCAATTTTTCAGTGTTACGCTTTTCGGTGTTACGCTTTTTGGTGTTGCGATTTTTTTCCAGCGACTCCCATCCACCTAACGCCCCATAAGGAACTTCGTTCCAAAAAGAACACATTTAACAGAGGAGACATGCAACAAACTAACCATTAACAACAAAGATATCTTAAGTAACTAAGTAGCATACAATTTAAATCAGAATAGTTTCTATTTGGGTACTTGAAATGCATAGTTATTAGTTATTCCTTATTACTAATCGTAAAACTAATCTATAAATAATAAATAATATGCGCTTACCATCAAATTGGCATTGCAAATATGGTGTTTTATCACTCCACCTCCAATTATAATCATTCCACTATTAGCTGCTTTTACTGCCATCGTGTTCAATCTTCTCAAATCTTTGAAACAGAAACATAAAAAATAATTTAATATGTACAATAATTAAAGATAGTACCGTAATGATAATAAAGTAAAACAGTATACGGTTCACTTTACCTTTTAATATATCAATAATAAGACCAGGGTTTCTAAAGGAATGGAAGTACATCATATCTCCTAAGCTACCATCGGTTAAAGCTGGACAAAATATGGGGATCTTATTCTTTGCTGCCCAATAACATATTGATTGTTCGTCATTTATTTCTAAGCCCAGTCTTTCAATTATTTTAGATGGAGTCCAAGCAATATTCTACAATGCATATATATAACATCATACAAATTAGGTATTTAATTTATAGTAATATCATAATTTTGTTTTTATACATACTTGTTCTTCGAGCATCTTATCTAAAATAGGCATGACCCAATTCTCAAATTTGCAGTAGTTGTTGTTTGGAACTAATAAATTTCCAATTCTATTGAGGCCATCTTCACGGAGAGTGCTACCTTTTAATTGAAAATCTCCTATAAATGTAGGAGCTAAACATTTTATTAAGTCTTCCTCAACTCCTCCAGCAGTTGTCACTATACAGTCGACCATCTTATGTTGGACAACAAAGCGTATTGCATCACGATTACCACATGAAACCATATTTGAAGTATAACCAAGGAACATTGTGCAATTTGAACGGCGTTTGATAAATTCGTCTTCTTCATGAATATCTTCTTCAAATGGTTTTTCTCTTTCATCTAACTATGCAAAAACTAAAAGTAAATAAACTAAATTCACATCTTCTTCCACCATATTCTAACCATTTTATTTATCTGTTCGACAGATAATCCAAAATTTGTCGCCTGGAATCCAGAATACCGATAGACCGACAGTAATTGTTCGTAGTCAATTCCATTGTTCCAATCATAACCTGATAAATTTAAATAATTTAAAATAATAACAAAGTCAGTACATAATAGTTATTTCCTGTTTAACCTTTTACTGTTGGATTGTCTGATGAAATGTCTAGGCTCTTTTTCAAAACTGCCTCTGATGCTTTCTGTGGCTCCATACCACCGTTAGGTTTAATAATATTATGTATAATGCATTAAGTCAAATGTCAAAACTACGAACTACGAACTACGAAGTAAACAATAATAATAATTAAATAATAAATAATATTAAAATAACTATAATAGTTATGCAACAGTTTAGGTAACTATAAGTGCATCGTGCATTCGTGCCATGCTGGATATTTAGATTTCAGTTCGAGGTTCGAGCAATCACAGCTCTAACTATGTTATCACCTAATCACCATAATATTATTGTTGTTTGCCGGTTGCATGTCCTGTGCCGGTTGGTAGCCGATACTATCATGTTGTTAATGGGTTTATTAAAAAATCACAAATTAAGAGAAAAGATAATATATACGAATATACGATAACCCATCTATAGCACAGAGCACTATTGTTCTGTGCTAGTTAGTACTTAAGTCCAAATTGGTGTAAATGTGTAATACAGTTAGGGGCTGTCTTTTTAACGTTATTTTCTATTATAATATTTGGCTAAACAAAAAGACAATTTAATTTTTGAAAATTCACTCCCCACCTTGGGTGACTTCTGGATCCGATACTGGTGTAATAACTAATAAGTCTCCACTTAGATTTTAGATTCTGAGCCGGTACTGGAATGATGTGTGTTTTCTTTAGTCTATTGCACTTTTTATAACAGTGAAAGTACTTCAATTTGCTACTTCAACATTTTTCTGAAAGAAAAGTGAATCAGGTTTCGACTTTATTTATGAGGGGGTGACGAGGTGTGGTCAAGAGTAAAAAAATGCCAGTAGTTTTCAAAAGCATTGTAAAAAACAAAAAAAAGTTAATAAAAACTGAAATTTTTACACCAAAACCAGTTTTTAACAAAATCAATTTTGTTTTTCAGTGTAACTCAAAATCTCACAATGGTAGATACTTTACATTTTTACCCAAATAATTTGACCATTTTCTATAAATGATAAAATTTTCAAAATATTTTGACTGAGCCATCTATAGACATTTTAAATTTTGGATTTTTTTTTAGTATTTCTTTTGTAAATATTTATAAAACATTTGGCTCGGTCAAAAAACTTTAATTTAATACAAGGTCCTTCATAAGTAATTTATTCTGAAACCAAACAATTTAAAAATATATACCTATATAATATATTTTTTTTTATAGTCATTTGAAAATCAAATTTGAATGAAACAAAATATTAAAACAAAGATTAACAATTTTTATAATTTTCTTATAATTCAAAAAAAAATTATTTATGAGCAATTGAAACTTTTAATATATTATATTATTTTACACACAATGAATGGCCTCTTCAAATGTAATGTTTTTGGAAAAATGTATTCAACCTAGGTCTTGTACAATTCAGTACTAATGAATTACTAATTACCTCGATTATATTAAAATTTATAATCAGTGATAATAGTAAAATATATTACTTAAAATAGCAATATAAATATAATTGGTAATAATATAGGCTGACGGTCTGTCTTCGCTCAGAATAGTCAGAATGATTTATCATTGAATCCAAATTAATTCATACATTACAGTGACTTACACCTTAAAAGATACACTGTCAACACCAGGTACTTATTATTTTAGAATGTTAGATAGCAGTACATACAACATTGTCTTTAAAATATGGAATTATTTTTTTGACTAGTTTTATCATTTTCATAAGATAGATTTTGTATGAAGTAATCAATATTTAAAATAAAATTGGCTAAAAAAACTCAATGTAAAAATGAATCACTAGAAAACCATTTTAATACAATAATTAAAAAATATCCAGCCGTATTTTGGAATATATTAAGGTTAGATCATAAGAAATAAAGATCAAATCAAGTAATGGGTATACATTAAATGGAAATATCTTAAATATTATTTGTGTAAAGGAGAAATAAATATCAAGGGGCCGGCGGTTGTTGTCGAACAGCTTCTTTAGGGTTCTTGACAACTAAAATAACGGAATCACCACGCAGAAACATTTTGGAAATATATTTGTCTCGACTAACAGCTTTTGCCTAAAACAAATAAATAAAATTTAATTTGTTTACTAATTGCAGTAGTTAACGTGGTATGTAAAATATTTACTTTTTTTTTGCCTTTGCCGGTTTTAGGTAATTCAGTCCACATTTCCCGTACATTTTCTAATACCATGTTACAATGTCGGTCAAATGCTTTGATTCTTGCCAAAAGTTTTCTATTGTTGCGGCAGTTTATCAATACCTGAGTATTATTACGTACAGATTGGGTTAATACCGACATGGGGCCTGTAGTGAATTCTTCTTCTTCACGTTTTGCTAACTCTTCTGGAGTCATCTCAGATTTTGGTTTGTTTGCTACAGCAGCCCTATACAAATATAAATTTAAATGGTCATGAGTGAGTAAAAGATGAAAAAAAATGAAAGATTTATATAAATGTAATATAAAGTATCAATCTAAAATTCTGAATAACCGTACTTACATGATTGTTATATGATATTTTATTAATAATGAATAATATTATATACAATAATTTGAACGGTTCAACGGTGCGACCGGCAGTCTTAACTCTTAACTAACTTCAAACTTACTACGAAAAAAACAGTAAATACCGTATATATACAGTACTACAAACAGACTACAGTGTTATGATCTGAATAATCTGATAGCAGATAGGTAAATGTGTGGTCAGGGCACGGACTAAGATATACAGGACTGGAAACGACGGCGTTATCAATGGAACTAATGTACAACGCTAGTTGGTACAACGTCGATCTTAACGCCATCTAGGTACGTAAGTGCATTACATAATAATTTAATAATTAATTGTTAAATTATTAAATTGTAATTATTATTTATGGTGCCTAGTGCCTACTACCTAGTACCTATATAAAAAAAAATGTTTGAGTAGTTTGAGTAACATTTTAAACACTTTTAAAAATTATCTTTACAACACTACAAATGTCAAATTGCTAAGTTACATACTGACTAAAATTAATAGTAACTTGATTGTAAAATAGATCATAAATTGCATAAATATAAAATTTAACATACATTTAAATCTCCTGGATAGTTGTTATATACACTTATTAAATCTGCAGCTGAAAAATGATTTTGACAAACATAATGAGCAATGGAACTTTTACCATTAGCTTTAGAGACAGCTTCGTTCCATGCTGTTAAAATATTAACTTTTTTTGGTGCTTTGAACAATGTACATTTAATTTTGTTTTTCAAAATATGGCATTGATCTACACTACAAAGCCTAGGCATTTTGGTAATTTATCTTAAATAATAAATAAATGTAATGTACCTACCACGAACTAAGATATACTAAGATATCTTAGTTCGTGGTACCTACTATTGAAATATTGGTAATAAAAAAGTACAACATAGAATGAATTTTAGATAGGATTCACAGAATAGACTAAAATAATCTTTTTATGTATGGTCAATACTTGCTCAGTACCTATTCTGTACTTAATTTAATAACATATACATACAAATAAAGTATAATATATCTTAGATTAAGTTGTTTAGTATAAAATATATTATACACATTCAAGAAACAAAATTAGATACAAGATGTGTATAACAAGTCTAAAGTTTATTATATATTTCATTATTTCATACAGTAACATAGGGATTATTTATAGGCTTAAAATAGTTGCCAATAGATGGCAGAGCGGTCGCGGTTGTACAGGCGTCAGAAAGGAACCGTTGTACATTTGGCCCAGACCCCGCACTCCGCCAGCTCATTCGTTTCCAGTCCTGTATATCTTAGTCCGTGGGTCAGGGTGTATGAGCCCACGCCCCGCGGATAAGCTATATTATTATTATTATTATCACCTATCTTATAGTTCTTATTCTCACTGATCATATTTTCACCGGTAGGCGCGCTAATATTCAAATAATGAGATAGTTGTTGAATTCAAATCTTTGAAAAATAATATGATATTAGCCATTAGGTAGGTATACGATTAAACGATTTACGATAAGCCAAATTCGCGAGCCACGAACTCAAAGTTCGTACTACCTAAAATATGATGTCCTATATATTACTTAGATATTAATTTATTAATATTATATTATTATCTTAGTTCGTGCATCGTGGCATCGTGGTCCCGGTTCTTGAAATTGTCATTTATTGGCATATTATTCCATTAATTATGTACAAATTAATTAATTATATTTTTAAATTAACATAATTATTTTAATTCATGATTTGTAAATCTTTGAGCAAATGGAATAAAATAATTACTTTTCTATGAATATGTATATAATCCTACTTATAGCGTAAAGTGTTGACAGCTCAATTGCTTAATAAGTAAGTAGAATTTAGTTTTGAGTATAAAGCCTACAAATATATGTGCTTTAAATTATATATATTTTCTTTTATAGATAATTCTACTGACCTACTTTTAAATAATATTTTAAAATGCATACCAGGTATTGGACTGGTGTAAAATTGTTTACAAAAAAATTTCATTCTTCCAGCATCAGGTAAATTATTCAGCATTAACGTCTATTCATAATTATAATTTGTAATAGGTATGTTGTAGTTATCTTGGTATCTTTGGATTTCTCTCACCAGTACTTAATACGAATAGTATGCTAATATTCGTGTTGTATTTTCTATTCTGTACAGGAATAATATATATAAATTATGTAGTTAATTAAAAAAACTAACATGATAGTTAAAATGGCTCAACCTCCTCCTTTTGATACTGACCAGGCGCGGACTGGTAAAAAATGGCAAATAAAACATTTTGGGGAAAATTTAAAAAACATTAAATCTCTAAAATATTACTTGCAATTGTTAATTTTGTTTTAATAAAACATTTCAATGCTTTATGGAGATATCATCATTTCAAATTTATATTATTATATTTATTTTTGTATATTTGTGAAATGAAATAAATTTCATATTTAAAAAAAAAAAAACGTAAATAGATACCAAGTTAACACCAAAATATATTTTAGAGCAAGGGATGCTGTGGCATCCCAGCATCCCAGCCAGTCTGCGCCTGATGCTGACACTTGTTTTCCTAAAAAGGCAATCTTCATTTATGTCAACCATTCATATGTATTCTCACAACTGAGAACTTTTGTTGCTGCACTGTCTTACAAAGGTAGACAGGATAAGTTATAAACTAAAATTGTTAGTTGTGATATTTTTAATACCAATATTTTGAAGAAAGAATATGTTCAAAAATTTAGCTTAACACTTAAATATTATCCTTTTAGATTAAATGCTACTGTAATTGATGGGAAAAGTATTGCTAATACTATATTAAATGAACTACACCAGGAGACTCAAGAATGGGTTTTGAAAGGGAATCGAGCCCCTCATTTAGTAGCAGTGTTAGTTGGACAAAATCCAGCTAGTAAAATTTATGTGACGAACAAAATGAAAGCTGCCAAAGTTGTTGGTTGTTATACTATTTCAATGGCAATATATTTTTTTTTAATGATTATTGTTTTTATAAATACATATTTTAATTAGGTATTGAAACAAAAACAATAAAGTTCAGCGCATCAACAAGTGAAAATGAGCTTCTTGCCTGTATCAAACGTTTAAATCATGATGAAAATGTAGATGGAATTCTAGTCCAGGTGAGTTATAACTCCTTATAGCATAAAATATTCTTAATTACTTTTAATTGTTATTAGAGTCCGTGTGATCTATTTTAAAAATGATACATATTGTAATCTTTAATTTTGAAGCTTAAAACCTTATACCTTAAAAGAAAATGAATGATTGTTATAGTACATAATTTGTACTTCCCTAGCGTACATATAATATAATCAACTAGCAAAAAAAATCTATAACATTTTGTGCTCTGAATCTGATTTGTAAATATTATATTATGTATTATAATTTGTTCATTACAAACATGTATGCAATTTAGTTACCACTTCCTGATCATATTACTGAACGGACATTGTGCAATGCTGTAGCACCACACAAGGATGTTGATGGTTTCAACATTGTTAATATTGGAAGATTTTGTTTGGATATGCAATGTTTGGGGCCATGCACACCGTTGGGTGTTCATGAGCTAATTCGACGAACTGGTATAATTAAATGCTATAGTTAGAAATATAAAATTATAGTATAAAATTAAAAATATTATCTTAGGAATTCCTACTCTTGGTAAAAATGCTGTTGTTTGTGGAAGATCAAAAAATGTTGGTATGCCTATTGCTATGTTGCTCCATGCAGATAATGCAGGTACCTATAATTACAATTTAACTTGTTAACTTGTTAGATAAGTTTTATAATTCAAAAATATGTTGTTAAAAATTCTTATGTTTAAGATATTATATTTTCTACATTTTTTAAAATATATACTGTATGGTACCAATGTACCATACCTTAATGGTACTATTGGTACTAATATATTGAATATTTTAAAGACATTAATATTAACTATTATTATATTAGCATGACTCTTACAAATATTGTAAATTTCTATAAATAATCACCATTATTTCCCTTGTTTGGTAATCACAAATTAGCAAACTCGCATTGCATTTTTTTTTCATTTAATAAAAATGTCTTGATAGTTTTTTATATTAAAGAAAAATAAAACCTTATGTATAATAACTATTTATATAATATTTCCGCCACTGGATAGATTCTTTTTTCAAGCCTCCAACCCATCAACTCCCAAAGCTTTTGTACTTATTGTAAAAAAAAAAAACACATTTACAGATTGTATAAATAAATATTGTAGAAAAAAAAATATGAAAAAAATCATTAATTTTAGTAAATTATGCAAACTATGTAGTAAAGTAATTTATTTTAAATCTTATATTAAGGTGAGACATCAGCAATGGATGCAACAACCACAATATGTCATCGATATACACCACCAGATCAACTAGCTTTATTTACCAAAACAGCTGATATTATTGTATCAGCAGCAGGTAATATATTTATTTATACTGCTCAAAAATATGAATGTTTCTTGAAATAAACTTTGGATGTATGTATTAATCAATTAGGTGTTCCAAATTTAATTCGTGCTGATATGGTTAAACCAGGAGCAGCCATAATTGATGTAGGAATAACCAGAGTGGAAGACCCGAAAACATCTAAATCATATCTAGTGGGAGATGTTGACTTTGAAAATGTGAAAGAAGTTGCAGGATACATAACACCAGTCCCTGGAGGAGTTGGTCCAATGACAGTGGCAATGTTAATGCGTAACACAATTGCTGCTGCTAAAAAAACTGTGATTTACAATATACTTGATCCTGGTGCAGTAATATACAAACAAGCATCACAAATAAAACCGTGAATACAAATCAAGCTAAAAACAATTTTATTCATTGATATTTCAAGAAAAATTTGTTCAGCTATAGGTTTAAAAAAATTGTACCAGCATGTGATAATTAAAAATTAAGTTCATCAAAATAAGCTTTAAAATAAATGATGTGTTACAATTTTTATAAATTAAATAATAATATAACATATATTTTTACATTCATTATTTCACAATGGTAGGTATAACGTGGTAAATTATTCTTGTCATGACTAGAAACAAAAATAAAAAAATAGAAAATTACATAAAACCTAGTGAGAAAAACAAAATTTTTGATTTTGAGCACAGTTTAAGAGCTAAATTACTTGTTGACCTCATACCAGCAATTCATGATTAAATAAACTGGGTTTTTTTTTTTACTCATGATCAAATTGAATTTATTATTTACAAAATCAAAAAGATTATTTTACTGTAACCTTATGGTCCTCCAATATTAAAAAAAATTGTTAATTAATAATTCTGTGATAATATTGTTGAGTACACAAGAAGATAAGGTATAAATGCAGTTTAGTTCCCACTCGATTTTTTTGATTTTTTTCCCCCCAAAATATGTGTTTTAAAGCACTGAAAACAAAAGTCTAATTCCAAAATTCTCGCAAATCATTATTTTGGAAGTTATAACTTACCAAAGTTTACGATTTTACGCATTTACGTATGCATGCGCGCGAAACGATGTACACTTTGCTTTCCTACGTTTTTGTATTGGATAGTCGCCTATTATTAATTATGTTATTATTAAGATAATTTAAGCTTCTATAGACTTATGTTACTCTAACTGGCGACCGGAGCCGATAGGCGACGGGAGCCAGGTCCCTTGAGTTTAAAGACCAGAGCCACTATACTTGTGATACTTCAACTAACAAGGTTAAAATTTCTTGTTAGGTCACCCGTCTGCCCGAAGGGCAGGTATGCTCTCCCCCCTGCGACCCCGAAGGGGTCGCCACCCAGGTTTGCTATTTAAGCCCCGGGGGGTTTGGGGGCCGAGCCCCCATCCAGCGAGAGGTCCGCAGGACCTCGAGTTTGGCGACCGGAGCCGGCAGGCGTAGGGAGCTTCTATAGACTTCTGTTACTCTAATTGGCGACCGGAGCCGATAGGCGAAGGGAGTCACTATATACTTATGCAAACAGGTCAAGGAGTGAAAACACAAATTAACTATGCATACTGACTCGTAACTTTTAATCAGTGTCGGTCTGGCCCACCCGGATACCCGGCGATCGCCAGGGGCCCCTGGATATTTTCATGTATTAGGGGCCCATAGCTAAATGAAAAAAAATATTATGTTTACTCGAGATTCCAGACTCGGGCTCCAATCAAATCAATTTGTAAACATTGAACCATTGGTTCAAAATATAAATATTAGTATATGTATACTATTATTGAGGCCGGCGATTACAATATCTTAGTCCGTGATCTACAGATTCATGTCATATACCTATTGGCTATTACCTATATAATTATAGGTAGTATACTATAGGCAGTCGGCACTGACGAGACAAAAATAGATTTACTGTAATTTTCCAATAATAATACTAATACGAGTGATACACAGTATTACACACAGACATACAGACACGCACCTCGCACACAGACACTCAAACTTATGCTCGCTAATCGCTGTACATAAATCACTATTAAATACTTTATGAAATAACATCAAAATCTGATTTGTTTAATACCTTAGAATTGAATAACGCTTTGACAAAAAAATCGAAAACATCCCCCGATTTGTTTTGGTTTTGCGTAGGCCTCGGAATTAAACAGAGTTGTTAAAAGGAACATAATCGGCTAGCGTTGCCACTCGCTAGCTATGCTGCGCTCGGGAAAAAAACACGAGTTCCTCCGCGTATCATTAAAGTAGTGTTGCCCACATGCGTATAAATCGCAAACTTTGGATGGCTATAATTTCAAAACGAAGTCTGTCCGGCCTTTTTTTTTACATTCTTATAAAGTTCCCTAAAATACACATTAAAAAAAAAAAATTTGAAAAATCGATAAGTTGCTAAACCAGAATTATGCCCTTTCTTGTACACAAGTTTCATGTGAACGTGCGTTTTCAAAATTGAAAATTTTAAAAACAATACTAAGATCGTCTATCAGTCAAGAACATCTTGAACCACTAATTTTCTTATTTGTAGAAGAATATTTATTCAAAAAGATGAAATAATTGATCAATTAGCATCTTCTAGTCAAGAATTGAAGAGATTATTGTCTAAAATAATATTATATTTGAAGAACATTTTAAGTTAACGTTGTTATTCCTTTGTGAACCACAGCTAAAAAACAAAATCTTTTTTTTTTTTTATTAGTATTTGTATCTAAAGTTACCGACTGGATCCAATTACCTAGCCAGGTTAGCCATCGTACTACGTACTGAACAGTTATATATTTTATTTGATTATTTAATCATAAAAAGTATTAATTTGATATTAAATATACTTATGTACGCGAAAAATGCAACTACTTTAATATGTTATAACAATTATAAATTTCAAAACCCTTTTTTTTTTTTTGTAAAGGGCCCATTGAAAATTACTGTGCCGGGGGCCCAATCATAAGCCAGACCGACACTGCTTTTAATATAAAAATATCGACGTCCTCCGCGGAGCATTATAGTAGTGTTGCGCGCATGCGTATAAACGTAAAATCGCAAACTTTGGTAAGTTATAACTTCCAAAATAATGATTTGCGAGAATTTTGGAATTAGACTTTTGTATTCAGTGCTTTAAAACACACATTTTTTGGGGGGGGGGAAATCGAAAAAACCGCGTGGGAACTAAACTGCATTTGTTCCAACAAATAATTTATGTTCATTTTATATTTCACAATATGTTAATATACAAGATGATTCACCAAGCATGCCCATCCCCCTTTTTTCTTCTTCTACAATGCACCATACCAACAACCAGACACTGAAGTCTATACCACGGTCCTTATAAAACATTTGGTTACATCTTATATTCATATGATAACCTCCATGCGTCATGCTTAAAATAAATAAAACAAAATTGTTTCTTTCATGAAATATTGTTTTTGTAGAATAGTTTGGTTGGTGTATAGATCCCTGCAACACTTGCTGTGATCGATGAAAGCAGAGGTGAAAAAAACTAGTATGTGTGGCTCGTGCGGGATGGCAATCTCAGTCTGGGGCAAAAGGCGGTGCTTGCCTGCTCGAAGCCCGCGACCGAAATAGCTCACTTCCCGCCCTTGCAACACAATATACTGTTACAAAATTTGAAAAACTTTAACACGGCTATAAATTACTCAAAAAACAGTCAAAGTTAATTAATATCCGGTTTCAGTAAATTTTTTTTTATATGTAGAAAAACATGTAAATTTTTCTATTAACATTTTAAATTTAGCTATAAAAAGAAAAACTTTTATACAATTTTAATTGAAGAATATTTTTAAAATTTTAAAATTTTCTCATGGCTTTAAATAGCTCAAAAAGAGTCAACATTGTTTGATAATTTTACCATGTATGGAAAATGGTAATTTTAATAATTTCAAGTGCCTAGGGTCGTGCTTTTTTAATTACAACAATATATCTGAAATTTCGTTAATTTAATGATGAAAATCTGCAATATCGTAAAAATTTTAAATTTAAACTCTCGTAGAAAAATAATATTATTTTCTGTACATTTTTTTTTTGGTTTGTGATAAAAAAAATTGTGGGGAATTTTCTATTAAAATGTCTAATGTTAGCTTTGAAAGGAAAAACTTTTATGAAATTCTAACTAAAAAATTTCGAAATGTTGGGATAATAATTGGGAAAAATTTCAATAGTTATTACTTATTACTTTTTGAATTACACCAAAAATATAAAATCGATTTTTCAAAAATTGGTTTTACGTAAAAATTACCACTTTTTTGTTTTTCTTAACGCCTTGTAAAACTACTTGGAATATTTTAACCTCTTAAAATTAACAACTAGATTCACTTTTCCATCAGAAAAGATGCTGATCTCAAAAATCGGAACATTTTTACTATTCAAAATGTCACTGACAAACAGGAAAAAAAAATGTAGTAAGTTACAAGTACCGCTCTGCTATAGGAGCATGTCGTTATAATGTATTACGAATTTGTATATTTGAATTCAATGATGATAGTATGATACTGAAAAAAAACACACGTCATCGTAAAATCAATAGGTACATTCTTCTCTCCGCTAAAAATCAATTACATTCAATATTACATTTTTTTATAAAAAAAAAACCAATTTTAAGGGGCCTCGCTACTGCCGTCAATTTTAGCTGAAAAGACCTAAAGAATTGAAAAAATTAAAATTAGTTAACGTCCGATTTTTATTCTTAAAAAAATTTGAACTCACCAGAAAATTGTCCATGGATCCTACGAAGCATTTTGTAAAAACTAAATTTTATATGATTGTGAACTGTAATTGAAAACTTGAAAATATGAACTTTTTCGAATCAAAATTAAAATTAATATTAAAAACGGAAATTTTTTTCAAATGATATACAGACATTTTTCTGCTGAACTGAAATATTTTTCAGAATCAAAATCAGACAACGTTAACTAACTTTAATTTTGCCAAATCAAATGTATTTTTTGTAAAATTCTTGTAGTGAATTTATATGGTTATCAATTTATTGACATTTGCATGCTCGTACGACTGTACAAGAGAGGTTTCCGTCGATACAGGCATTTAATTTCACTCACACTAATAATCATTTACAGCTAACACGGGCGGCTATGACAAGATTAGAAATTGCCTAAATGTTGCCCCTTAAATCATGACCGTAGCGAGGCCCCTTAAAGTGCTGGTGTGTATAAAAATGTATGTGTCAAATTTGAAATTTGATAAATTTGTGTAGTTTTTAAAGAGGAAACTATGTCCGAAAAACTAGGACACGAATAGCGCATTATTCTATTGATATTAAAAAATCATTTAAAAATATGAATGTCATCATTTTCGTGATCATTCTTTTTAAATCTGACGAAAAAAGGAATGCCCAAA